CACCCACAATGACATTCGGGACATCATGATCATACTGCTGCGCACCGTAATGAAGGCGGCCCACTCGCTGGACCGGGACACGGGGCTGGTGGGCAAGTTCTTTGCCATTATGTTGGGCATTCTGCAGCGCATGGATGCCCAGCACTATGAGTACTTTGTCAAGGATCTGCATCAGCGCGGCGAGCTCAAGGACTTTGTTATCGAAATACTGCTGGTGTTCGAGGAGCTGGTGTCGCCGCACCAGAAGGCAGTCTTCCCCAGAGACTGGATGGACATGATCATGCACCAGAACACAGTCATCCTGGGCGCCCTCAAGCACCTCAGTGTGGTCATAACGGACTACTTCCTGTGCCCGTTCGAGAAGCAGATCTGGTCGAATTTCTTCCAGTGCTCGATCGCCTTCCTGGTGCAGTCGCCGCTGCAGCTGAACGACTTTAACGACAACAAGCGGCAGATTGTATTCGCCCGGTATCGCGACATACGCAAGGACACGGCCATGGAGATACGCAAGATGTGGTTCCAGCTGGGCCAGCACAAGCCCAAGTTTGTGCCACAGCTGGTCGAGCCGATACTGGAGATGAGCATGATACCAGAGACGGAGCTGCGACGCGAGACGATACCCATTTTCTTTGACATGATGCAGTGCGAGTACTACAGCTCGCGGCTGGAGCTGGAGAGCTATGGCGACACCAAATACAACAATGCCCACCACAAGGGCAATTTCACCGAGTTCAAGACGGCCATGATTGAGAAGCTGGACATACTGATTGGAGCAGGTGAGTCCACAGAGACCCTTCTTTTATTTCGAATTATTTACTTAATAATCCTCTTCTTCTTCTGCAGGCAAGGGCGATGCCGAGTACAAGCAAATGTTCGAGGAGATCATGCTGGAGCGCTGTGCCGCCCACAACACTTTAAATGTGGATGGCACCTGCTTTGTGCAGATGGTTACACGTCTGATGGACAAGCTGCTGGAGTACCGTTTCATCATTCAGGACGAGAGCAAGGAGAATCGCATGGCCTGCACCTTCTCGCTGCTACAGTTCTACTCGGAGGTGGATCTCAAAGAGATGTACATCCGATATGTCTATAAGCTGTGCGCCCTGCACATGGAGTTCGAGAACTACACAGAGGCCGCCTTCACGCTGAAGCTGCACACGGAGCTGCTGCGCTGGACCGACACGGAACTGTCGCCACAGTTGCGCAGCTTTCGGCACAGCCTGTGCCGCACCCACAGGGACCTGAAGGAGGCCCTTTACTTTGAGATTCTGGAGTATTTCGACAAGGGCAAGCAGTGGGAGTGCGCCATCGATATGTGCAAGGTGCTGGCCCGCCAGTACGAGGAGGAGATCTACGACTATATCAAGCTGGCCGAGCTGCTGAAGCGCATGGCACAGTTCTACGAGAAGATCCTCAAGGAGCTGCGCCACAATTCCACGTACTTCCGCGTGTGCTTCTATGGCCGGGGATTTCCGCGTCTCCTTCAGAACCGCGTGTACATCTTCCGGGGCAAAGAGTACGAGCGGCACAGCGACTTTTGCACCCGAATGCTGGTGCAGCATCCGCAGGCGGAGCTCATGCAAACACTGGAGCCACCCGGAGAGGATATCACGCAAGGCGATGCCCAGTACATCCAAGTCAACAAGGTGGAGCCCATTATGGACGCTGCGTTTAGCAAGTTCGACGACAAGATCATCTCCAACGAGATCATCAAGTACTATACGGCCAACAATGTGCAGAAGTTCGAGTTCTCACGGCCGTTCCGCGACAGCAGTGGCGGCGGCGATGATGTGCGGAATCTCTGGCTGGAGCGCACGGAGCTGATCACGCGCTTTCCCCTGCCGGGCATACTACGCTGGTTCCCCGTCGTCGAGGCGATTACGTTTAAGATTTCGCCGCTAGAACGTGCAGTGGAGATTATGAAGGATGCGAACCGGGTCATCAGGCAGCTGGTAATCCTGCACAAGAGCGACGAGACGCTGCACATCAATCCGCTGAGCATGAAGCTCAATGGGATTGTGGATCCGGCCGTGATGGGAGGCTTTGCCAAGTACGAGGAGGCCTTCCTCACCGACGAGTATCTGGAGGAGCATCCCGATGACAAGGATCTGATTGAGGAGCTCAAAGAACTGATTGCCACGCAGATACCGCTGCTGGAGATTGCCATTCAGCTGCACCGACAGAAGGCGCCCGATAGCCTAAAGGCCCTGCAGGAGCATCTGGAGAGCTGCTTCGCGGATATGCAGCAGCACGTGGAGACGCGCTACGGCCGCAAGACCTGCGACCTGAAGATCGAACGCGATTCGGTGGTGATGCGACGCACCAACTCCTTTCTGCCGGCCCTCTTCGATGGTGGCTGCAATCGTTTGTCGGAGACCAGCATGGGATCCTCAGAGTAAGTCCCGAATGAAGTTACCAACCCCTCTATGCCGCTTACTAATTCCCCGTTCTCTTTATCGCCAACTGCAGCAGCGGCCTGTCAAAGTCAACCATTCTGCCCAGGCCACCCACCAACTCGATTAAGTCCACGCTGGCCAGCCTGAGCTTCAACACGAGGTAAGTGGCAGCACCCCGGAATGAATGGAATGCCTCCCTTCCTAACCAGAAACCACTTTAAACTCTCTCTCTATCTCCCTTTTGTTATGCTAATTGCTGCTTTTAGTTTGAGAATTTAATTTTTGTTTTGATGACTAAATTTGCTTTTACGTTAACTTTTATTTTACTTACGTTCTGTTGCTTTGCTGCTGCTGTTTCTTCCATCCCCAGGCCCAGTTTGGGACACTCGCCCAGCACCAAGAGCAGCAAGAACAAGGACAAGACACCAGCCAAGCGGCGGTCCATGAAGAAGGTACAAAAAAACTCCAATCACCTTTCAACTATAACTCTAACTCCTGTTCTTTATCTCTCTTTCGCTTTGGCAGGAACGTGAAGCGCTTAGCTTTCCCAGCAGTCAATGGTATACGCCACCATTGACCACTATCACCTCGACGCCGGAGAAGGAGATCAACACGTCTATTGGCTCGTTGGCCAGTGCTTCGAACAGCTCGTTAAGTGGTCCCAAAACACCAGATCCTCATGTGCTGACAGAAGAGGTAAAGCTTAGAGAGGAAATTCACTCCAAACACGCCCTACAATTCGCTAAACTAATTGCATTTTTAGCTCACACCAAAGCGGCCTCTGCGCTCGGAAAAGGAGAAGGAACGTCGCCTCTCTAGGCCTGCCAGCATTGCCACGCCCACGGCCAGCATCAAGAACTTCCCGACCGACACACGCTCCCTGTCCGAGAGCAGCAATCGCAATTCAGTTGGTAAGCTAAAGACTAGGACGCGATCAATACGGCGGTGGTAATGAAACAATCTTGTTTTTGGTGCTGCAGAAACGACAGATTCCACATCGGAGGAGGATATTCGACCGCCGCCATTGCCGGCCAAGACACGCGATTCGACCGATTTCACCAGCCTGTCACATAACATGGACTGGACACCGAATGGCTATGCGATGCTCAGCACACAGACCAGCTTCACCAGCAACAGCAGCAGCACGGGAACGGGCACAAGCACGACCATGACAAAGACCAGTATTACAAATAGTACGTACGAGTATTTGGAGGCCACGAACTTTAGTCTGGTGGGTGCTGGCGCTGCCTCACTAGATGGCAGCAAGCCGCGTCCCCCAACGCCGCCGCCAAAGCCATCGCGGCACAGCAAACACATTCCATAAGGGGACAACGAATCCCCCTGCTACCAGTGCCAGCAACAGCGCCAGCGCCATAAATATATATATATATATGTTCAAACGATGTCGAGTGCCAAATATTCCTGTTACTACATACATATAGCATATAGAGAGCGTCGGCGAGCAGACAGCCACAACGATCTTTGCCACAAATCACATTGACCGCCTACCAAATAGCCAACGGCACAGAGCCAGCCGCAGAGCACGGAATCAAGTGTCTTAACGAACGATCAGATAGATGTATCACGTATCCGATAACTAATAATGTTTAGGTTAAACTTTGTGTTAAGTGTTTGGAATGATATTATGTTGAACATGTCATCATTTTCGGTTTAGTTTAGAATTTTTGTCATGTAATTTGTTTACGAACAAAGCCCCAAAAAGCCCTTCCCACTGCTTGTCTTCCACAAGTTTTAGATATCTATATCTTATATATACATATATGTACACGTATTTACATGAAATTCATAATCAGATGAACCTGATTCTGTCAGCAATACGAAGGAACAAACAAGTGCCACAATCTTTATATATATACGCAATAAGCTTATATCACGAGCATAAATGCATGTCTACGATTTTATACGAAGCAAAGCAAATGGATGCTACAGCATCCACTGTGTAGCTAAATTGTGTGTCTATTAAGGAATACGAAATGCGATATGAATGTCTTTTAAATCTTTAAATTAGAACAATTTTTTAAATCAAAGGGCACGAACTATTTACACTGTTTTTTAATACAATTCAGAATAGAGCCATAAAGTAGAGATCTAGCATATATACTATACATATATATATATATATATATAAAAATCCACTTGTTGCACTGCACACCAGTGTGTGTGGGTATTGTATTCTATTCCTAATGTGAACAAATCAAAATTTTATAATTTTATTATAATTATAAAAAACTCGTGTGTAATTACGTACGTATTTTGCGATCTGTGTATCGGCCAAAGATTAAGCAATAATAAACTATAACTAAGCGTAAAAAGCATGCGATCTACTGGCTAGCCTATACCTTATTTGAGCAGAATAATATTTCTACACTACTCAAGAGACTGCCATCTATAGCCCCTGGTATCAGCTATTAGCCCTCCCCTGGTCAGCATAATTTTTTGTAACTAGACTTGTTCTCATTATCTCCCATAAAAAGGACACGCAAATACTGCCCCAAACTATTTCTGCGTATTTTAGAAAATTTCAAATAATATTAGTTTACCCTTTTTAGCAGCTCAACAGTCAAAAGAAAAAGAATTCACTTAATTTGTTAAAAAATAAAAGTTTATTCAGAACATGTATAAATCGTTGGGGTTGTTAAGATTAGTAAAAAGCGCCAAACCTGTTAAATTGAACACATTGTCGAGGGGGCGGATAAAGTTGTTTGTCAAAATGCCAATAACAATATATAAATAATTTATGGTATAGCTACCAGATTAAATAGATCCTGAAAAGGAAAAGTCTTAAGCTTATTAGAGGGTAAAATGGCTTTTGATTTCATTCCGAAAAAGGCACACAATATATCAAATAATACAGTATTAGACGAGGTTTGGGTCGGAGGGTTATTGGAAGGGACATTGAAATGCATGGAATGTTCGTTGTTGTTCCGGGACAGACAGCAGAGTCCTGAGAGGAGAGATTTGAGACCAAAGTCCAATAGACAGACAGAGTGAGTTAGAGAGCATGGAACTCCTTTGTGAGCTAATCAGATGGGTGAATTCAGATCCACGCATATCTTGGAGTTGCGGTTCTGCTTCTGACTTATCTCCAGTACTTGGAACATCTCCTTGAGGGCCTCGCTGGTGCCAGTCCGGCGGCGATTGCGTCGCCGAAGTGTAACGCCTCCCGACTTGAACTCCCGCATTAAAGCGTCAAGACCTGCAAGAGTACAGAGTGGAATGGTGTAAGTATAACGTGCTTGGCAAGGCGCTCGCTATTAGCCAATAAGTCGCTACAGAAGCTTAGCCATGCGGTTAGCTGTTAGGGGGAGGACGCACCCGTAGCCCAAGCAGGCGGACACGGCGTCCACATAGAGAATGGAATACTCACCTCGCAAACAATCAATGAAGCAAGCGCCTGGACTTTAAAATGCGGATGCGGGGATGGGTAGGGGGGTTGGGTTGGGGTCTTGGGTAGGGCATAAATCACGGACAAGGCCGGAACGGGTTGCCGGGCACTCGACAACTGTCACCGACGACAAATGAAGCTGAAGACGCATTGACTTGGATTCAGCAAAGTCAATGAAAATCTATGGTATCCCCCCACTCTCCCTCTTCACCCCTCTCGCTACCTCTCAATGTGTGCATGTGTAAGAGGGGGGTGTGTGTGTGTGCGTGTGTTTGTAAAGGATGGGGCCCAAGGTTTGTGTATAAGAAAAGTGGCGCAATAAAACACGGAAATATAAAACGCACAAATAATAATAATAAGCCATAGCCCAAGACAACAATGCGGTCCGGGCCGCGCCTGAGGTTGCGCCTGCCTTAACACCCCAGTCCCCAGTCCCAGTCCAGCTGTGGACCTGGCCCCTTCTCGTAAAAATAATAAATTGCGTCCTCTCCGCCATCCTCATCACCATCATCATCATCATCATCATCATCGTGGTCGTCGTAGTCGAATTTGATACGTCCCTGCCTTGTGCTGACAGTTTGGTCGGTTCTGGGTGGGGAGGGGCGGTGGGGGGAGGTAACATAAAGCTATGAAACGAACTGAAATATATGAAAAATGTGAACGCTTCGCTTGCTTAAAGCCAGAACGGAGGCAATCCATAGTCGGAGTCCTCTCCACGTTGCCAAGGAATGGAAGCCAAATAACAACAAAAACACACGCACACGTATTTTGCTCCAGTTCCCAGATTTTACAGCTTCAGTTGTGTTCACGGCTCACACGGCAGGGCATGGCGGGGCACAGGGCGTACTCAAATCAAATTTAAGTTTTTCAATGCATCCCATGAAACCGGAAATGGCACTCAGCCTCTGGGTGTCTGTCTCATTCCGGTGACTTCGTGTGTGTTGGAATTTTGCTACTCCAAAAAAAAAGAAAGAGAATTTCTTCCGCTTTCTGCGGACTATCAGCCGTTGGGGGCTTAGCTTAGCTATACATATGTATGTATCATATTTATGTATGTAGGTGCTCGTACACAACGATTTGACACAGGGCAGGTCATGGAGAGGCCATTGAAAGTGAAGCTGTAGGTAGTAGCCATGGGCAGCACAGCAACAACAATAGCAACTACTTGTTGTTATGTATGGTATATACAGATTTATGTATGTATAGGGTGGAATTTCCAGCGAGGCGAAACCTCGCTTTGCTTTATCCATCTTCTGCAGACACCTCACCCAAGTCCCGTTCCGGTATCCCTCTGGTTCATTTGTTTTTGCCACGACAACGAGCAGAACGACGACTACGACTACGACGAGGATGGCTTTGACGAGTGCGGCCAGGACACACGAGCAGCAATGATGCCTAGCTGTAAAGCTGATGTACGGCTCGCTGCCAGCTCAAACGCTTCATGTGCCTCAAGAGACGCGCGCGCGCTACCACGCTCCGCTCCGCTCCACACTCAAAGTAATAGAGTAGGGCTGGCTGGCTCTATATCTCGTATATTCGCGTATATATCGCACTATATATATATGTAGTATATATCCTGTACGTTTCGGCATTTTTCTGGCTTCCAACAATACGGGCGTTGATTGATTTTGATTTGAATGTGCGCTCGTTATGCCTGCGACGGACGCGTTGTGCGCGCCAAAAAGTAGGAAACGACGCTAAGGCGCAACAGCAAGAGCAACAAAGCGGAAACGGAAATACTTAGTGACATACATACATACATACATATGTGTGTGTGGGTGCAAGTGCGTTTGTTTGTGCGTGTGTGTGTGTGATAAGCATTGGCCCTGACATTGTCTGAGAATGTTGTTCGGGTAAGTGGCCCTCCCTCCTCTACTTCGCAGGAGAACAGAACTCACTATCACAATAATTAGTGAAAAAATGTATGGATATTTAATGGACTGTGTACATTCAAGTTTAGTCTCTGCGAATCGATGTTTCATATTTATACGAGTAGATACATATTTGCCAAAGGTATTGCCATTGCCTCCTGGTGGTGCATGCATAATATAATCATGCACTTTCCTGGCATCCTCCGGCATCCTCAAACACACACAGAGAGGGAGCAGAGCTATAGAGCTACGCGAGTATATGGTATATGGTGTTTGCACTCGTACAGAACGGAACCGAACATTTACTGTGTTCTGTTGCACATGCGGGTCTGTGTCTGTGGACTGCGTCTGCTCTTGCTCTGGATTTGCTTTTTGATTTTGCTTATCAAACAAGTGTCATGTGCAGTGATGATATCTCAATCTCTGCTCCTGAATCTACAGCCCCTGAATTACCACATTCCCTTCCAATTTGAGGCGGAGTTGGGTGTGGAACACAGCGATATTTCTTACAATTGTTTCAATCTAATAAAAGCGGAAATTAAATGGCACAGAAGGCCCACAAGCGCACAACGCATACACTTGCATATACCCGTGTATACTCGTACATATGTAAAAGTACGGCTACGTATTGTGCGGAAAAAATGTATTATGAAGTTATGAACAAAATAAAGTGAGAGAAACATGTGAGTCCACACCACACACACACACACACAGCAGGTGAAAAATCCAACGCTAATTAGGTTTTCACTAACTTTATTGGTAGAACCAAGCGCCTGACACAATAACGATCCCGACATCGAAAAAAATTTAATTACAATGGGCAACAAATAAATGGGAATTTTCAATTATAAAAGTGGTGTGGGCACGTCCTTGCTCCCAATTGCTGCGCTACATTGAGGCTCCCCACTCCACGCACAAGCAAAGGCGGCAAAAAAGAATGCCCGAGAATCCAAGAACAAAATACATGTCGTGTGCATGATGCGGCACGGCACATTGAGGCACTCGACTCTAATTTTTCTGATAGGGATTTCTATTGTTGGACTCTCTGATATAAAATATTAAAAATTCTCTTGATAGATTTTCACTTGAAGCTTTAAATTTACAGCAGCAGCAGAACGGCCTATTCCAGGGCAGCACTCACCTGCCCTGCCTTTGGCCCACTTGCCATGCCCATTCCCATTCCCCTCGAAAAGCTGCTCGCAAACTTAATTAAGAAGTTGCTGCTGCAGCAGTCAACAATGGATACTGGATACTGGGAACTGCGTACTGCGTACCGGGCAGCGAAGCGAAGCGGAGAACAGAACTGAACAGAAGGAGGCGGGTGGGATGCAGTGAGCCGTAAAAGAAGCCGACACGACGTGTAGGTAAAATCAATTACAATCGCAGACGGGTTGCCATGTTGCGTGTGCCGTGAGTCGGAGGAGCCGTGCCGAGTGAGTGGCGTGCGGCATGAGCCATAAACTGACAATTGACAGCAACAAGTTGTGGCCCTTCAGCCAGATTTCCCGGCCACCACCAACGACAATGCCAGGCACTTGTCAACGCTCCACGGCTGCCAGGGATTAGCTGGTAACATGAGTGCCCAGCCCCAGCCCCAGCCCAAGCCCAACCGAACCCAAACCAAGCAAAAGGGGTGAATGATTTCGAGGGCTTTCGTTTGGTTTTTTGGAGCCTGCCTGAGGTGACCCAGAAACAATCCGAACAAAGCAGTTTGGGAGATTCACAGTTTTAGCTGGGATGCTGAAACTCAGTTTCAGAGTTTGGTTGGCCCACCTGATGGCCCAATGCATGCCCCCATGATACGCTTCAAATGCTCTGCAGACTTTTCCACTTTCGACTTTTGCATAGTTGGCTCATCCTTGGAGCTGGCTCCACTGCGCTTCTAAACTTTTTAATAATGGCTCTGAAAACTTTATCAATGCCTACGGCTCAATATCGACTCGGACAAATTGGGCTAATTAAAAGAGAGGGACAGCTTCTGGGAAGGAGTGGGGTTGTCCGGCGTTGACACTTGGATTCGACTCTCGAAGGAGGACGCCTGAAGGGGATGTGTTGGTGGGGGGGTGGGTCTGTAAAGTGGTTGGTTTTTGAGCAGTTGGTTACATACCTGTTGCTGCCTCGGCCTGTACCTGATGCTTGACGTTATCTATTATCTTATCGCTGCCCCTGCGCAGATTGTGGCCAACAATGTGATCGCTGAAGCTTCCCGCATCACCACCATCTCCACCCAGTCCCAGTCCGGCCCTCGTCTGTGCCGTGAACAACAGTTTACCAGGCATAGGCGGTGGCGGAGGTGGTGGCATTGGTGGAGCAGCTGGTGGCGGCACTGGAGCCGTTCCCGTTGCCGTTGTCTTTGCCTCCGATTGGTGATAGTGTGCCAGCTGCTCTTCGGCGTGATCGGCACGCGTGAGAGCGTCGCGCAGCTGCTCCTCGAGTATCTCCAACTTAAGTTGTAATTTTTTTAGTTCATCGTTAGTAGTTTTTGCTATAGCCGCATCCATTAGACATTGCTACAAAGGCAAGAAACAGAGAACGAGAGGGTAGAACGGGCGGGGAGCGAGCAGGAGGAGGAGGAGGCATGGGTGTGGTAGGGTAATGGAAAATTAGTAGATCAATCAAAGCATCTGGTTTGGGGGTGGGGGTGTTAAGTTAGTGCAGAGATAGGCAGCCAGAGGCCGAGGCAGAGTGCAGTTAGAAGCGACGCAGAGCAAGCGAATTGCTTACGTTTCCCAGCGATGGTATTGAATGGTGGTGTGTGGACCAGCACCGAATGGGGTAGGAGGAAACAACAACACATCCTGCAGAAGGCAGCAGGGCGGCACATTCCCATGCACTTCTCATTTGTATATTGTATACTGTGTGCCATATTCAGATGTGTAGTTGCTGTCAGTTGCCGCCCTTGAACATATTCGAGAGCGGCTTGAAAATGTCAAACACACTGCGTGCTTGCTAATAGATCGATAGGATAGATACAGTGCAGATAGATAGATAGATAGATAGATTGTAGACAAAACTGTAGATACTAGTAGTACTTAGAGGGAGAGAGTGCAACCAGAACTCTGGACTAACCATTTCCACAATGCGCTCGTTATGTTCGCGCGCCTGTTGCTGCACCTGATCCTTGATCTGCTCGAATTCCGCCTGCTCCTCCTTCAGTGTTGTGGGTGAGGCTGCGGGCTGTCCATCAGTCAGATCGCGTGCCTTGGCAGTGAGTTCATCGTTGCGCTGCTTCAGCTTGATCAGAGCACTCTCCATTCTGCAGGGATACAGAGCTACTACAGGATCTCCATGATTGATGATTGGAGTTGTTGAACTTACTTCTGACTGGTCTCCACGCTCTCCTTCATGTTCTCCGTGAGCAGCTTGGCCACCTTGGTCAGATTGCTGTTCTCCGAGCGCAGCGTTTCGTTCTCCTCCTCCAGTGAGTGTTGCTGTTCACAAGAGAAATCAGTAAGGATCGCAGATTAGATGATTTCATTATTTCTTTACTCACATGCTCCAACAATTCGGCCATCTTCTCATTGGCCTCGTACAGCTGCAGCTCCACGGCATTTGTGGCATTCTTGAGTGACAGGAACTCGTCGGCCAGGCGCTCCACCAGGCCGCTGGTTATGGGCACACCATCCGCATTTACATCCACCAGGCTGTCCAAATCATGATGTCCTATGCTGTCGCCGCTGTCGGTGCTGCCCTGCTGCACGATCTTGAACAACTTTCGCTTGAGCTCCGCCGAGCCCAGGACCAGCTGGGGGGCCGGACCGGTCTCCTGCTCTTGCTGCCGCTCCCGCATGTGCTCCAATTCGCTGGTGAGACTTTGGAATGGCAAATGGATTGGATTAACTTGGAAATTTCACAGGACTTGTGTGCCTTTTCACACTCACTTGCTTATTTGATCGACCTTCATTTTGTGCAGCTTGTCCAGGGCATTCCGCTCGTTCAGGGCCTTGCTGAATTTGCCGCCCAGCTCCTTGATTTGGGTCTCGAAGTTAGCCTGCTGCTGCTGCAGTGCCTCCAGCTGGATGCACAGCTTCTCGTGCTGTGACTGCTGTTCCTCCTGTGTCGTTTTATCTACAATTTTTGTGGGCATAGAAATGATGAGTAATCAGATCGGATGGGATTCAGATTATTTGCTGCACAAACGTGTCTCAATCTCCAGCTTGAGCCCCTTGTTCTCCTCCTTCAGGGCAATGTTATCCTCCAGCAGGGTGAACATATCATGCTCGGGGTCCTGCTCATTGTAGTCCGGCTCCCGAACGCGACTTCTGCTGCGTGCCTTGGCCTCCTGGGTGCGGAACTTGGCCACCGGTATGCGTCCGCGTCGCTCCATCCTGTACTACTGCGCTGCGGAGTATCGGAAAATAAGAGAATATATAATTAGATATTTGTCTTATTGGTTGAACTTAGACTGTGCTTACGTTTGCCTCTGACAAGCCTTAAAGCGTTAGCGTTATCCTTAACCCTTATGATAAGCAAATGCAAAATGTATCTTAAAAGCTGCCAATCACCAAAACAAATGCTGTGTGCGTGAATATGTGTGTGTGTATGGTTATGGGTATGGGTATGTGATAGTGTGTGCTGCATGCAATGTGTCCTTCCTAGGATTTCCGTTCCCTCATGGTGCTGCACCCCACATTGAAAACGCCTTGCCATTTTACTTCTTCTTTTTATTATTTGCAGTTTACACAGTTTTCTTCTTAGTATTTTTTTTCCTTTTCCCCCGCCCGCTTTTCCCTCTGCTGCTTTGTGGGTATTTCTGTTTTATTTATCTTTATTTTAATCGTTTTTTTAGGGATCATTTTCTTATTTGGGATCTCTTCTCCGCTCAGCTGCTGAAAGTGTTAAATGTATCTCAGAAGGTGGTGGCCAAAAACGCATTTGGAATGCCTGCCGAAATGTTGCTACGAAACTAAAAGGTGCCACACGCCCCCCTCAATGCTCAATGGGGAGGGGGAATGGGATTAGCCTTTTCTTAAACATTGTCTTAGCTTGGCTTTAGAAATAGTTTTGCTTTTGAGTGCAGAAGCGTTTCATTTTGTTGTATGTATGGTATCCTCTTCCTGCTGTTATATAATACTTAAATATATTTATTTATTTGTTGTTGGTTTTTGCTAATTTCTTATGCATACAACTCCCCATATCTCTTCTTCGCCTTCGCCGTAAATAAATTTCATTTTTTTTTTTTTTTTGTCACTTGTAGTGTAAAAAATAAAAATAAAAACCTAAAGTTTGTACACACACAAAAAAAAATCTAGTTTCGTACAACTAATTTCTTTTGCTACTCTTTTTTTTTTGTCATCTCTTTTTTTTTTCATCCACTTTAAATGTATTATGTATAAATTTTGGAGATTTTTGTTTGTTTTTTGTTCTTTTAAATTTTGTTTTTCACTCAATTTTATAAAAATAACTAATCGAAGGCGGCTTAGAGCTCTTTGTTTTTTTTCTTCTTTTTCTCTTAATGATGTTGCGAGTGGTTTCTATATGCTTTTACAGTAGATTATTATTTTTTGTTTTTATATATTTTTTTTTCGCTTTCCTTCTCTTAAATTTGGTTTAAATAGCTTTATAGTTAAGAGGGTTGGTTGTTTCTTCATTGATGATTCGGTTTTAAGAATATTGTATTTTTTTCTTTCATTTTTTACAGCTAATTTCTTTAGATTTATCTTTGGATAACCATCATGTATCATGTGTGTGTTTTGTTTTATAAATACTTTACATGTCTTTACTTTTAATTTGTTTATAATTTACAACGTTCTTTTTAATACGTCTAGTATATTCTTCGTTACTTCGTTTCCTTTTTTTTCTTTCTTTCTTCCCTTTTTTTTTTTGCGTATAACTTATTATTTGTTATACTTTATTTTTGTTTGTTTTGTAATATATGTGAAGTGTTTTGCGTCGAACAAGAAAGAGAACTCCTCAGGACTTGAGGTTTTAAATACAGATCTGTTTTTTTTTTTGGGATGAGATTTAGGATAAAGGGTTAGGTTTAGGGTTAGGAGTGTATTAATTTATCGGTTTCGGTTTCATTTTGAGCCGTTTTCGTAGAAATCACAATAATTAAACGTAGGCAATAGTTTTTTTGTTATAATAATAATAAATCGAATAAACAAAAACAATGAAAATTCATAAAGCTTTGTACTGAAAGGTAAAAAATGAACAAAACGTTTCAATTAAGGTCTAGAAAAACGTATATGCTATAAACGAGAGAGATGGCCAACGGAAGAACGTTCGATGTTCTTCCCTCAGCGGAAATAAAATTTTTTTTTTGTAATAATTAACGAAATACTGCGGTTTACGAAAACAAATAGATCCCTAGATATCCTATATCTATGTCAAATATATACTCTATATATATATATGTATTAATGCATGTATATCAATTAATATTTCATTTACCCTGCCTTGCACTGAACTTGAATTCTTTAATGGGAGATTCTGTTATACCATTTCTTTCTTTTTCTTTTCCATTTTTTTTTTTAATTTATTTTTTATTTGATTTTCGATACGGGTTTGATACGGTAAATGTTGTTGTATTTTTGTGTGTTTTTGTTGCTTTTTGGATGACCCAGTCATCGAAAGAAAAGCGTCTTAACATCTCATTTAAGGAACGTATTGTGATACAAAGGAAAATCATTGGCTGGCTGGCTACTTTTTGCCTGTTCTTTCTGTTGTCGTTGTTGTTGTGTGTTTAAAAACCAATAAATTTCAAATCAAATCTCTATTCATTGTCGAACAAATAGGTGTGTGAGGGACGGGCATGGGGCATGCCCCCAAATCATGTCTTTGAAATCATGTTTGATTATAGATTCTTGAGTGTTTCATCTGAACTTGTGTTGTCTGTGTCCGTGTCTTGCCTCGTCGCTGTGCTTGTACGTATTCTGTACGTATACAATGCTGTCTGTTCTCTTTGGTGTTTTGTCTATAGATCCCCGATGAAGCTGTGCAGTTTGTCAATGAAGGGCCTGCGGTAGCGGGACGAGTGTTCGACCTCCAGCTTGTACCACTTGTCGAAGGATTCCTTGGGTATCACCTCGGAGTCGTACAGCACGCTGAACGCATTACAGATGGTCTCACAGGCGGCCATCTCGTCCTCCAGCTCGGTCATGAAGTGCTCCTGCAGCGAGTTAACTGTCGCATCGATGCAGGCGATCTCCAGCGGCTCCTTGGCATCGATGCTGAGCCGCAACAGGGGCGTGCATAGGCTCCTGAAGCACTCGGCGTTCAGCTGCAGCGGTTTGGGGCTGCTGCTGCTGCCGCCCTTGCCGGGTGCCTTGTTGTTGTTGTTGGTGGTTGCAATCACAGTTAGTGCGAAATCACAGCAGAGGAATCGAGTGAGCTCCCTCACAAAGTCGACGGAGGTGCCGACATTGGTGTTAATGTAGTCAATGGCCATGTCGCCGGATTGTCCCAGCAGATACCTGATGCGCACCACATGGTCCTGCGGGGAACGCTGCAGCGGCGTGAGCTTCACTCGCTGGTCACCAGTCTGACCCTGGCTGGGGTCCAGGAAGTAGAATTGATTCGACTTCACAAAATCGCGATGCTTGCGACAGTCGCCCCAGAACATCTGGCCGCGATCCAGCTTGAGGTCGCTGTGCCACAGCTTGCGTATGTAGCCAGCACCGAATTCACGCGCAAAGTAGTTGACGAATGCAAATACAAAGCACTCGCTGACGTCGAAATCTGCCTGCCAGCGCCGCAGCCAGACATCCTTTAGGTCCAGACGTCCCGCATGCATGATGGGGCCCAGGAACTCAAACACATACCCCAAGGCCATGGGCACATCCACCAGCAGTTCGGGCAGCTCATTGGCAAAACTCGCATATGCCTGGGCAAACGTCGCCTTGTCCATGGCCTCCTTGGACATCAGGAAGGCAAAGACATTGCCACAAGCCAGCCGCTCCTGCCGCTTCACTGTCCTCTGGTGCAGGTAGTGCATGAGCAGGTATTCCACCACGGCAGCCTGGTGCTTCGTCTGATACGACCGCCAGATGCCCAGCACCTCTGGCTGCCAGTTGCGCTCGTTGAGAGCCTCCTCCACCAGTTTGATAACCAGATCCTGGCACAGTTTCCTATCCAAAGGCGCGTGGATTTGCGACGGTTCCTGGCTGCTGTTTCTGTTGCTGCTGGCTGGCTGTGTGGTAGCGGCAGTCGCCGATGGCTGTGACTGCTGCTGCTGATACGGCGAGTACGTAAAGTTCTGTCCCCCGGTGTTCACGCGCTTCAAAAGGCTGGTGGGTGGCCCACCCGATGGTGTGGCACTGACCGGACGATTGCCAGCATTGCGCCACTGGTAGTGCGACGAGTTTCCCAGCTTGGCGCTCGAGTCATCGTTGGCGCTGCTGGTGTTGAAGCGCAACTTATTGAGATCAATGCTGAGGGCCTGGTTGTCCTGCTGCTGTTTGTTGGGCATCTTTTGCAGAAAGTAGTTGCTGCTGTCGTGGCCATGGCTGCCGCCATGTTGATGCTGCTTCTGCTGTTGATAGTGCCCCGCCTGTGGGCCCATGTTGCCTCGTCCCCCATGCTGCTGCTGATCCTTGGAGTCGTCGTGCTGCTGCTGCTGCTGCTTGTGCCGCTGACGGCCGCTCAGTTGCTGTGGCGTGACAGGCTGATCCCAGTTCCGTGAGCGCAGATCCAGCACATCCTGCATCATGAAACGCACGCGGCTGCTGATCTTGAACTGCGCCTGGCGATGCGCCGTGCCACGTGAACGATTCACAATGTCCTGAATGCGTCGGAAGATCTTCTCGTTGCGATCTCTCAGCTGGTACTGGTCGGGCAGGGTGCTCTCCAGCAAGTGGCCCACTGTGGTCAGCAGCTTGCACATGTACTCGAGCTTCTCCTCGATGCCGTGCTCCTGCAGCGACTCCACGCAGTGCAGCACACGGTCGCTGGTCAGCGACTGCAGCTTGTAGAGCTCCCCAATGAAGCGGACAGTACCCCAGGCGCGACGCCGGAATTGATACTCCAGGTCCTCCATCTCTGCACGCAGCTCGGCCTTACGGCCCGCATCTGTGCTCTGATTCATCTTGTCCTGCGTGGGCTGCAGCTTCTTGGTCTTGGCATTCGCATCGTTTACATTCGACTCGAACTCGTGCTGAATGCGCGTAATGAGCGACGAGGTGAAGAGCGATTTGTTCTCGGCCTTGATCTCGTGGAACAAAACTTTGCAGAAGCGCGCATATACGGGGGCAAAGTTCGGCTCACTGATGGTCTTCTCAAAGATCAGCAGCATCACCTGGAAAGGGTTTGAGTGAAAGCATTAATTATATAGAAGACAAAACCCTTTGCGTTGCTTACATTTGTCATCTTGCTCTCGGTATCCATCTTAATGCTGGACATCTCCTTGAGCAACACATCAAAGTTATCGGGCGTCAGCTTGTTCAGTATGCCGCGCACCTTCTTCAGCACACCATCAATGTCGCCATCCTCCTCCGAGACACCGGCACCACCACCACCACCACCACTCACTGCGGCGGCGGGAGCCTTGCGACGCAACGGCTCCGGCTGCCACGCATTCTCGCACTCCGACAGCTTGATCTCTTCTTTGAGCGACAGCTGCACGCGTATAATGTCCATGTGGCGTTGATTGGAGCTCGAACTGCCGCTGCTACTGCTAGCACCACCCATGTTGCCCGATCCAGAGGCCATCTGTGGGTGGCCGCCATCGTGATGCTTTTTATTCGAGCCGCCATGACCCCGTCCACGCTTTCCCGGCACAAAGTCCAGCGATTCGCTGAAGTTGATGTGCTGATACTGCGGCAGATGCTGCTGCTGTTGCTGGTGGTTGTGGTGCTGCACATGAGCATGCGGATGTATGATCATGCGGGACACGAACAGCTGCGAGATGCAGTCGCCCTTGTGGCAGGGCACCAGCGGTGCCTTTCGCGAATCTGGCAGTTCGCATAGCTTGCGCAGCTCGTCCATGGAGTAGCGGATAAACCTCACGGTAGTCGTGGGCGTGGGGGTCGTCACAGGGGAAGCCGGCGGCAATGTTTCTTGTTGTTTCTTGCCGCCTCCTCTGGGCTTTGGCGAATCTGAATTTTTGCGTCTATTATGTACCGGAGAGCTCTTCTTGCTGCTCGATGTGCTGCTGGAGGTGCGACCAGCGCTGCTGCTGCTGCTAGTCGTTGTCGATATATCTGTCGTAGTCGTGCTCAGCTTGGGAGCGCAGTCCACATAGTCGGTGCTGGTGCTGGTAGTGCTGCTGCTACTGGCCGCCACCACGGCTGTGGCTGTCACTGCGGCTGCGTTCGGCACCGAAATGTGGCTGCTCTGCGATGAAAGTTCATCGCGTGGCTCCTCGCTGGGCTCCGTTACCGTCGAACTTGACCACGTGGAGCTGCAGATGAAACCAGTGCCGATCTCGTTCTCCCGTGAATCCTCATTGAAGTCCCCAAACTTCAGATCAGCCACGCCGACACTCTCCTCGCTCTTCGATTGCTCTACACTGCACTGCACTGCAGATCGGTTGTTCTCATCATCTCCGCACGTCGAACCGCTGCTGTTCAGGAACTGTAGTTGTGGCGGCGCCTCCTCCCCATGGTTATCCTCCGGGTATTTGTTGGGGCTATCTGTTTGCAAGAATTTCGACACGATTTCATCGACTGGTGTGTGCTGATGCTGCAGAGGCTTTTTCGCCGCTAAAAAGAGAAAAGAAAAGATAGAAATTTTAGGATTAGATTTCTGCGTATTGTTAGGATCTAATGGCAATGGAGCCATGTACTCACGTTTTTCTTTTTCTACGATATCATCCTTTTCGTCATTGTTGTTGTTGTTGTTGTGGCCGATCTGTGGCGTCTCCTCTTTGGGTTGCACGTGGTGCGGTTTGTCACTTAGACTAGAACTTACGCTAGAATTATTACTAGATGATGCACTAAGCTTATCAGTCGTCGGTTGCGCCTTCTCTTCAACTACAGCTGCTGCTGGTGCTGCTGCCGCCGCCGCCTTCCCTTTGGATGTCTCTGCTAGCAGCACTCCTGCTGCTGCTGCTGGTCCTTCTTCCACAATTCTTGCAGGAGCAGGAGCAGCTGGAGCTGGAGCTGCTTCTGCTGCTTGCACGCCACCATTGTGGCTGTAGATGCTACCTTGACTCTGGTCGCTGTTGTAGTTTGTGGTAGATGATGGTTTGCTTACTTTCTTCTTTTCGACATCTTTAGCCCGCTTGAGAGCCTTGCGATTCTTTTTGCTACTCGTGTTGGTGGTTGTGGCGCCCGTAAGCAAGGCGACAGCTGGCGACATGCGCGTCAGTGGCAGTGTGTATGCCACTGGGCCAGCTCTTACTCCAGCTTGATTATGCTGCTGCGGCTGCTGCTGCTGGTGCTGCTGCCTCTGTTGTTGCGTCTGTTTTGGCTGATGTGTGGGCGTGGAGGCTGCCGATGAGGATGCCCCTGAACTCGTTGTACTCGACGACTGGCGCTGCGAACGCTGCAGCACAGACAGCGGTACATTTGCTGGCTTTTCGTTGCTTGAAATTAAAGGCTCGACCGAAGCTGCTGGAATTCCTGTTGCTGCAATTGGAGCTGCGGTGGTGGCAATGGATTTCGTGGGCTTCTGTGCTTGCGGCTGCTCCTGGGTCTCCTCCTCTTCTGAATTAAGCATCGATTCGCTTCTGGACAGGATGGTGATGCGCGTTTTCCCAAAGGCGGCTGCCTCGGCCACGTCATTCGCTATAGATGCGGGCGTGGCGGTGCCTGAAAAAAGGTTTAATCTTTTAGTTCTGTCTGCATTCGGCGTTGTGTGGCTTTGCTTAGAACTTACTTTGTTTGTTGGCCGACTTGGGACGCTGCTGCTGGTTTTGTTGCTGCTGATGCGGCTGCTCTTGGCCGGTAACGCCGCCTTCTCCTTCTCCTCCTTCGCCTACGCTCTTCGTCGAAGTCAACAGCTGCCTGTCATGGGTCTCCGGCACATTGTCCACTGCAAGGGATTGAATATATATATATATATCAAAAGCTATATCTAAGTATATGCCCCAATCTGGGACGTGGCGAATTTATCGAATTCTTCCAATTTTAGGGTCTCGTTTTTTTTGCTGTTAGCTTTTCTTGTTCAACAATTTCAAATCGAAATTAAAATTATAAATTTATATGGAAATTCTTCCTGGCTGTTGATCGAAAGAGTTTTTGTTTCGGAAATTCGCACCAACAAAAAAAAAGGCTCCTACGTTCCGTGGGTAGAGAATTTAGAGAGACTCAAAGTTAAAAAAGGGGCAAAGACTTACCGTCGCTTGTCTGCCAGAAACTGAGATGATCATCGGTTGCATGGCTCGCATTGGCCAGTATATCCTTGACAATGGTGCTTATCTGTTCCTTATCCGTTGTACAGGGCGGCATTGAGACGGGTGAGCTGCCGCGCTGATCCCCCTCTAGATTCACAAAGACCAAGCCACCAATGTGCTCGGACGAAGGCTGCAATGTTTGCAGCTGCTCATCGACCATCACCATCCCAGTGCCATCATCCACATCAACACCAGGGAGCAGTGTGGTTGAAGAAGAATCAACTGCCATTCCAATGGGAGCTAGATCCTGGTACTGGGAGCACAACGTTTCATTTTCCAGCGCTGTGCCTGGAGTCAGCGTCGTGGCGGGATTCGTTTCCGTTTTAATAAACTTCTTCGGATCGAGGATCTCATTGGTATCTGGATGTATGATGGGTATGGCATGACGGCGAACCTTCTCCGAGACAATGGGCAACGGTTGGCCAACTGCTACAGCTGCCGCTTGCGGTGCCACCAACGGTGGGCCGGTGGCAAAGCCTCCTCCCGCAACGGCGGGTACTCCAGCTACTCCGCTCTGTACTGTAGCAGCCACACCCACACCCACACCAGGCGGAACTCCTCCGGCCACTCCTCCTGGCACATTGGCCACTCCCAATGCTGGTGGCGCATTGCTGGTCTGCATGAGTGGGTTATATGCGTGCAGGCCGCCGCCAACGCCAGCCCCTGGCGTTGTGGCGGGTGGCGCTGTCAGCATTGACGGAGCATTGATCCCAGTCGAAGGTCCCAGGGCTATGCCGGGCATAAAGTTCGGCTGTATATGAAATGGGGATGCCCCGTTCAGGGTACCGTTGCGTGCACCCATCATGGGTGGCACAGATCCTGGCGTCGTTGGGCCGACCATCGTGGAACGCGGCGTATTGGGCGCTGCCACCGCATAGGCATAGTAGTTCTGTTGCTGGGGTGTCACCGAGCGCTGGCGTATGCCCCTGTGGGAGTTGCTGCCACTGTTTACATTGGGGATGAGGTACGTAACCTGTCCGCCTCCTGGACCAGTGCCCAGCTGCTGCTGTTGCTGTTGGGCTGCCGACTGCAGCTGCTTCTGATGTGGCTGTGTGGCTGCCGTATAGAAGGCCTGGGCGCCGCCAGCTCCGTTTGGGAATGCCATCGGGGGCTGCATGCCCATAAGCGGTCCGGTTGGATTGAATGGTATGTAGGCGGTGGTCATAAAGGCTGTCGGTGCGGCCCCACCTCCATTGCCGCCGGGGGGCGCGATCAGTCCAGCTGACTGCGGAAAGTGTGGCGGCATGCCCGTATTGTTTAGGACCCGGGATAGGCTGGTGTTGCTATTGGAGGACGATAGCACGTTATTGCCATGCCCATGGCTGCCGTGCGTATGTTGCACCAGGGAATTGTTGCTGGCGGCGGCGCTCAATTGGAGTCCAGCGCCGCCGCCAATGCTGGCATTGCTGTTGCCAGACGGGTGGGGCCCGTATGGCTGATAGAAGAGGAGCGGTTGCGGTTGCTGTTGGTGTTGTTGCTGCTGCTGCTGGTGTTGCTGCTGCAGATGATGTTGCGCCACCTGCTGCTGTTGTTGTTGTTGCTGCTGCTGCTGCAGCAGCTGCTGCTGATGTGGATGAAGGTTGTTGTGATTTGTCACGTACAGGGCGTGGGCCTGTTGTGGATCCTGTTGTGGAATCTGCGGCTGCTGCTGCTGTGAGGATGGGTGATGCAACAGTGTGTTCCTTGTCTGTTGTTGCTGCTGCTGCTGCTGCTGATGCTGGACCGCCTGCTGCTGCTGTTGCTGCTGCTGCTGGAGGTGATGGTGGTGCGAATGCGCCGTCTGGTGGTGGTTGTGGTTCTGTTGGTGTGTAGACTGTGGCCTGGTTCCCTTCCCACCCCCTCCCGCTTGCAGGAACATGGGAGGACCTTCGCAGGATCTGCACGCACGCATTCACGCAGATCACCCAGACAGACACACCACACACACAGAAAGTAACCAAAAAGCACCGGCATGAGCGGCACCCAGGAACAGAACAAATGTACAACAAATCGTTATGTTAGTAAGATGGAAATGGAAATGAAAATGCGAGGAAATGGTCCGATGATGGTCTGCAGATTATTGTAAAAAGCATATTGCATGCATCCGTGTGGGTGTGTGTGGGGGGGTGGGTTTGGGTGTGTGTTGGGTGGTGGTGACAGTGGAAGGAGGAGGAGGAGTCGGAATAAAGCAACCCAAAAAGCGGCATTTCATGCACTTATGACTAACGGAATTAAGTTCTAAAAACAGTTAAACAATATGTACTCTCTGCCCCTCACTCTCTCTGCTCCTCACTCTTGCGGTGACAGAATTGCCTCTCAATTGAGCGGCGCACCATCAATTGGCATGATGTCACGCACACACACACACACACATTCACTAGTGGGGCGTGAAAATATCCAACCCGGCGATCGAAGATGGCCAAAGCTCTGGCATTTGCCGCTGCCTTATCTGCGGGTTTTATCAATGACAAAACAGTTGTCGTTGTGGCACGTCCGAGTGTCGCTAAACAGAGAGGCGTTCTTAGCCGATGACACACAACAACAGGTGGCGCACAACAAAACAAAAAAAAACCAAACCTAACTTGAACAAAGAAGCAGCTGTAGGAGGACCCCCGCACTTGGCGTGGGAGCAACCTCAACACTTTCCTACATAAAATCTACAGTCAAGACTGGCATTCACAGACATCTACCGTATGGAAAATCAATCAGCATTTGCATATTTCTTAGGCAGTACCCACTGTACTGGTGGTCTCCATCTACTCTTGGCCTAGAAAATCCATGGCATTTGGGGCCAACAACCATCTGACAGTGCAACCACCTCGCATTTGGGCCCAATGCACACGGGGGGTGGGCGGTGAAAAACCTGTTCCCAAACGAAGAAGACGCTGACTCCACTCGCTGCATTAGCTAGAAGAACGAAAACTGCTTGCGCGGAATTCTCGGTTGATTCTTGTTTGTTTATAAACAAAAACCAGTTGGCGTCTGTGTGGGTGCAGAACAAAACAGAGCAGAGGTGCAGAGCCCAGAAGTCAGAACTCTGATTGGAAGCCACAGTTCGGTCTGATTGGAAACAGCGTATACGCGTGCATGTGTGTGTGCGTGTGTGTGTGTGAGTGAGGGGGAAAGCAGAGGGAACAATAACCGCTTCCCAAAGGCGTAGCGAAAACTTAAGAACAAATAATAACTATGACAAATTATTTACATTAAGAAAAACAAATGTATTATTTATCTAATTGTTATGTGTGTGTGTGTGTGTGTGTATGTGTGTGTTTGTGTATTTTGCGCTTACCGCTTCCCGTGCTGCCTTTGCTGACGATGCGTCTGCTGCTCTTGCTCCTGCTGCTGCGTTGTTGCGCTGATGCTGCTGCTACTGCTGCTGCTGTGCCAAGCCCCAATATGGGGCGTAATATGTGGTAGGTGCTGCTTCTTCAAGTCCTGCTCCTCAGCCCAAAACTCAGATTAGCCGTGCCTTGTCCCTGCTGCTGCTGTGTTTTCAGTCGTCAGACTTTTGTACTCCCCCGGAATATTTTGCGAATATTCCATGTACCTAGGGTATGTACGAAAACACGCGAACTTTACACGCACATTCGCACCAACAACTGGGATGACTTGTATACGTACATATGTATATATTTTGAAAAGATGTAGCTACTGCTAAAGTTTCACGGTAATTTTTTTTCTACAATTACAAGAAAAAGAAAAAACGTTTTGCTTTAATTTTGCAGGTGAATAATGTTTAAATTGCAGGAAAATAATTCGTCGATTTGAGTTTCCGATCAAGGCTAGGATGTTTTTGTATCCCAAAAAAAAACTGTGTGCGAGTTTTGACTCAAATTTCAGTGCGCCGAGGCGTTGCTTGTTGTTTTTGTCCCTTTTTTTGGTCGAGTCGTCGTCGCTGTCTCTGTCGGTGTGTCTTGGTGTCGGTACTTACTCGATTCGCTCTCACACACAAGCACAAGCGCACATTACCATTACACAAAATGAGGGAAACGAAAAAAAAATGTAGTTCCACGCGGGGAACACGCTAAATGGAGTACTTGCACTGTTTCTTTACATTAGTTCATTGTTTTCTGCACTTCGTTATGTATATATTTCGTTCTATATTTGTTACAAATAATTTTGTATTTTTTTAACAGAAACTCGTCCGCAGCGTGACCGTGACGATAACGATAAGAAATACCATACGGCCAGAAAATAAATACCTTTAAATACCATTTCAGTTTCGAGAAATACCATTTAAATACCACAAATTTAAAACATTAATTGCAAGTGTTTTGTCTATTTAAATAAATAAGAAATATAATTCAGATTGTTAAAAAACATATTTTTGGTTTGATCTAGTGTTTCCCTCTTTTTTGTTTGAATTTGTAGGACTTCCCGGGCATAGGAGCCAGGGTAGAAAAACCAGGGCAATCCGGCGATTAAACGAGACTTAACCCCCTAAACACCCTTGTATTTAAACAGTGAAAACCCTTTACTTACAAAACGAAAATGACCACCGACATCTTTCACCTGTAATGAGTAAAATATGTTAAAGTTTCATAAATTTCGTGGATATATTAAATACCCCCTGGTCGAAAATGGGTTAATCGTCCTCTGTAAAGTTTTCCTTCACGATTTGAGATCTTGTCCCTGCATAAGAAATGAGTGCAGTATTGCAAATAAGCAGTCGGTATGGTCGATACATTAGTGAATGGTTTTTATTACAATTAATTGATTTCAAGGACAAAAATTATTGCCTTTTTCGGTATTAAATTATGGGCATATCGTCCAATTTCTTAACGCGTTTTGTGTACTTTACTTTTTCGAATTTCCGCCAGATGGCGCTACAATTTAAATAAGAACCGCGCACTTTTGAAAAAAAAAAAACATTTTCAAAAATAATATATATACTTAATTCGGGTTGTAAAAATAATCAAATATATATTTAAAATTATTATATAGTGGGCGTTGCTCCAGGAATCTTTAAAAATGTACTCCCATATTGACTTCGTTGCTTTATTAGGTCTGGGTCGTGGGGGGTCTATTGTTTTGCTGTTGGTACTCGTATGCCGGCATGTAAGCTGTGACATCCTATGTACAGGACTCTGCATCTGTGTGAGTGGACATGCGCCGAACGCAGACTTCCATGCGCGGTTACCACCTCCACTCTCGTTTCGAGGGGGCATCGTGGAATGAATACTTGCAGTGTTTACGCGCCTGGTTCGTTCCTCCGCTTGTAGTAAAATTCTTGCTCTTTCTATTCTGCCGGATATGCTGTCATGGCCGTCGTATCTCCTCCCACTGTCCCACTGTCCCACTGTCCCACCACACACCTTCCCACTTCGTGTGGCGGCTGCTCATTTTCGGCTGCCATTTCTGTTGTTGCTGCCCCCCATATCGTTCGAGCTCCATTTTCTTACCCTTCAGCATTCAGCCTGGTCTTTGACCGGCCAGGTCTTGGCGCACTCCGCATTAAAATGCTACGCTGCTCTCCATTTCTTTTAAATGAGTTTTTCCTAGACGTCTTAATATTTTCGTTGCTGGTCGAATTGACTTCCTGAGTGGAGAGACCCTTAAAGTCGACATTCAGTTGAATCATTGGCAAAGAAAATACTTTGTTGGCTTTTGCGGGTGACTTTGCTGCCACGCATATATAAAATATACACAGAACATCAGCAAACGCGAACTAAAAGGATTATTTTGTGGCTGCAACTGCAAAAACAGTTTGACCGCAAATGCAACTGTTTAAAGTTGTGTCAACCACACACACACACACATACATAAATACAGTTCGCAGGGGCAGCCTTTGTTCGTGTGTGAAGTCATTTGCATTGCATGTTTTCCTGAAATTCCTTTCATGTTTTTGTAGCTTCTGCGGTTTGCGGCAAGGCATGACAAAGTGCGAAACTGACAGCAAAATGCATATAAACAGCATTGTTATCGCTAGCTTCATGCTCCCAAACGTTTGAATTTAACCGTCATTCAGTGCCGCCACTGGCGAGAACACTTGCTCGAGAACTCGCTCACTTTTAAAAATACCGAATGGCGGCAGTCAGCGGAATGCCTTGATTATTTCATATTTATTTAATCATTTGTTTGTTTTATTTATCTATTTCAGAAATGATTCAACAAACGCGAATAATAACCAATCCGAGGTCAAGAAACAGCTCCAGAATAGCGAAATTTTGAGCAATTGGCACAAAAATACCAGCGGCGCATGGTACATAAAATACCAGCCCTCTCTTGGTGTTTTGGCCGTTTATCGTTATCGTCACGCTCAAACCCCACGCAACTCGTATCAAACTTAGACTGGAACCGTTTTTTCTTGACTTTTCTTGGCTGATTTGATTCCCTGACGCGCGCGTGAACGCTCTTTCCGTTTAATTTTCCTCCACAAGCATTTGGCGCTGAAATATCAAACCGAATTTTTAACAATAAACCCAATCCGCCCCTGAACCGGATACAAAATAAATCAACTTTTTATAATTATAATTATTAATTCCATTTACAAGCCGTATGAAAAGCCACAAATAAAAGTGCGTGAGCCAAAAAACCGAGTTAATTGAAATGGGCCTAGCCCAAAATACCACTTTTCGTTTGTTTTTTAAATAGTTTATTTAACAACTTACCCATAACACAAATAAAACATTTACTCAAAGTAAATTGTGTGTATAAGCCCCAACTACAAAAATAATAAATGTGAATTGTGCAATAATATAGCAAAACAATTTCTATAAGAAATTTATAAGTGAGAGCAACCACAAAAATATTAAAATTCAGAATTAATAAATGTTATGCAACTTAGAGTTATAAAGTATGTAGTGTAACAAAAAAAGTAACAAAATCGTAACAGTGGAACGTAAATACATATATACAATGTATACACGCATACACACGCAGGCAGTCCACCAATACCATGGCATCCTATGTACATAGCGGAGCCTGAGATACCACGCAAAAGGAACGGCTTACATTTTACGCCAAGTTTTTAGCGACATTTGCACCACAAAAATAAAAACCAAACCCACCAACCGAAGAGAAAAGAATCGAAACGAAACGAAACGAAATCAGAGCCAGTGCCAGAGCATTCCAATCTGATTTTAAATGCGAGCCATCAGCCGCCACCTACCTAAGAGTCGGGAGCATCATTAGCGCCCCCCATCCGTGGGCACCTTATCCGCACAGGCACCGCACACATACACGCACGCAAGCGCAGGTCTTGGAGATAGCAAAACTATTTTCGCTTTGATTTGGCTTTTGTTTTATTTCCGCATCGAAAATGTGGAGGAAAGCGACCAAGTTAGTCGTGGAAACGACATCACCATCAGCATGGAGGAATACGCGTCGTCAGGGACAAACAGGAGCACCGACAACTGCAGCAGCAACAGCAACAACCAGGCGAACGAGGACATCAACAGCACAAGGATTAACCATCACATGGTCCCAGCTTGCCGTTGTGGTTGCTGTTGCAATGCTGCTGAACTGCAGCGTCTGTCAAGGTGAGTGTGTGGTCGATGGTGTCGGTGTGTGTTTGCACTTTTACACATGTAAATGTGCATATATATATTATGTACATATGTATGTATATGGATCCAATACATATACGTATAGGTTATTGATGTCCTTGTGCGTGGGGGGGACACTTTTACTTTTACTTTTCGTTGACTTGACAGACTTGACCACAATATATGTACATACATACATAAATACCAATACCAATATTATCTTGTGGTTTGTTTTTCATCTCTGCCAGACAGCTCAATAAATGCTCAGTTGGTCGAGTAGACTATAACTGAATTTGGCCTTAAGCAATTTTGGTTACAAAAAAAAAGAAAAAAACTTCAATTACGAGTATTTCAAGCCTCAGCTGCAGACCCTCAAGACCCCCCCAATTGAAGCTTGGGCGAGTGCGAACTCAATAAAACTGTTGGCAGTATCGCGAATGATGATGCCTCTTGGCTATGGGGTACTTATAATGAATTCATTTACAAACAAATATAAAATTTGATGCGTCATTTGTGTGGCGCAACCCAACTCAAAACATTGAAAACTGATTGAGCATCTAAGGAAAAGACTACAAAAAAACAATTCGAACGCGGTAATTAATTGACAGATTTACAGAAAGCAAAAAGACTCGTTATATCATTATACTCGTGGAGAACAATTGTCAACGTAGTGTAGATCGTAATGATTGTAGCCAGAATATCCCAGAGTTATCCACCTAACAAAGTTGAGCAATTAAAGTAAAATCTCTCGAACAGGAAGCTCCCCCCACTTCTAGCCAAATGGAGTGTTTATTGTGCTTAGACATATCCCATAAGTCATGTTTGCCTTTCTCACACTCGGATCGTAGCTCGACTCTAACGATCTTCAAACACTTCCACTTCCAAGTCTTGCAAGATTCCTGCATGAGAATCTTCCATACATCCGACTCATTTGGCCTGAAGATTTTGATTCGTTTCGATATGTATAAATTATGCAAATTGGGAGCTCTAAATCAAAGCATTGCCATTCTTTTGCATACTACTTTGGCTATGACTGCTTAATTGCCATAATTAGGCAGGCCAACAAGGGACGTGGCCAGGGCTGGGTGACGCAACGTGCAGGTTCATTGAACCGAAGCCAACTCCGAGCTGGTCACGCAATTGGTCAGCGGTCAGATAATAGAGATTTGAATTGCCACACTGGAGAGAGAGACCTGCTGGGAATGAGGGGCAGAAAGGTGTTGGGCAGAGCTACAAACTGGAGCGTAAAAAGAAAAGAATTGCCTGGGAAGCGCTTTTGAGCCACAGGCGATTATAACGAATGACCAACAAAAGACAGGAAATTCGCCAGGTCTTAGCCACTCCTCAAGTTGTTTCGCATTCGTTGTGCATGTCTTTATCTAGCTGAATAATGGGCAGCACTTAATAGGCCGTGGGAGAGGGAGCCGGAGAGGGCACCTCTCAATCGATTCATTTCATTTGGTACGCAAGTATGCTTGACATTTGCTTATCAATTGCGGAAGCTGCCAAGCCGCCTGGGAACGTGAAAATTCTAATTTATTGCCAAAAATTACTCTGCGCATTATGCAAAATGTCCCGATAAGAAATTAGAGAGGAGGCCAATGAACCGCAAACAAACTAAATCATTCATATCTCGCTCGCTCGCGACTGTGACTATGACTGTCCCCACAGCCCAGTCCCCGCCCAGCCGCTGTGCGAGGTAATGCCCAAAAAAAAAAGAAAAAAAAAATACCTAGAGGGAATGGTGTAACTTGGAAACCGGTTCTCGGCTCGGACTGGCAGACTAGACTGGCGGGGCAAGGCCTTTGTGTACTTCGCCTGTACTGTGTGTTTTGGCCCAAAAGTAACACATCAAGAGACGCCTCCGACGCCGACGACGAGCAGCGACTGCTAGTGGAGCAAACAGAAGTGAGTCGGCAGCAATCTTCGTCGTCGTCGTCGTCGTCTGCAGCAGCTACAGTCCCCAGTCCCCAGTCCGACACTTACGTAACACTCACTTACTATGCTGCGAACAAACCGAAGCACAGAAAAGTTATATGAAATGCACTGCAGCGCCAGTGGAACTGCCACCGATGCCATAGCCGGGCTAAAATGAAAGTGTGTCGGGCCCAAAAAGAGTGCGTGCCTTGACTTCTTACGCATGCGATTCCAGTTCTCAGTGGTCGAAATCGAAACCAGTTTACAAACTAATTGATGTTATTGGCTCGGCTCTGTCTCGCCTGCAGCTGGCCAACAAGGCTTAGTGGATTGAGGAAGACAATGAAAGTGGCTGTGGGTATCTATGTATAATGCAGCCCACCATACGATATAATCTAGCTTGAAATATCTGACTCCCCCAATGCTAGTTAACAGGCATTATTCAGCATTATTCAGCAATGATCAAAGGGGATCAAAAAACCAACACACATACGAGTACGAGCATACGAGTTTTGTTAAGCTCAGCCATCTACGACATTGAATGGCATTTGTGCACATTTGTAGAGGATGTGCCCAAAAATAGTCTGCTGCTTTGCTTGTCTGCAGCCCACGCGGAAAGATTTAGCTGGATCTACATAAATCCCTTACCCCCACCCACCACAAATTCGAGTTGTGGGATGTACCAGCTAGGTGTACCAGCCAATTAAGCGCAGCGCCGATTGCCTGCGCTGCGCTACGCCTGCCCTGCTTGCACTGCTCGCACTGCTTGCCCTGTTATCCAACCATTTGAACCTCCGACTGGAGGTTGGAGCACTCTTCATTGAAATTCAATTGTCTGCGGCGGTGGGCGGTGATCGGTGGGTTGCAGTGGGCGACGACCACGAATAGGGACAGACCCACAGCCATTATGGCAGCAACAAAAAAAAAAAATAATGTCAAACTGATTTGGTTGTGAAATGCAGCTTACATCATTTCCTGTCCACATCCTCATCATCCACTCTTTGCTGTCATTGCGTATTGAACATGTTGTTGTTGTTGCTGTTGTTGTTGTGGAAATGGAAATATAAATGGGAATGGGAATGAGAATGGAGTTTGGCGGGGGGAGGCGGAGTGGTAGAGTGCAGTTTTTAACAAGCTTATCGCATGTTTGCAGTCAACAGAAAACAAACTTTTTTTTTTTCCAGCTCCATGTTCTGGCGTATCCATGGCTATGTAATCTTGCTCACACCAGCAACCAGCCACTCACCCATCCCCCCCTCCCCCCAGATCCAGTCCCGAATTTGGCACCATCTCCAACTCCATCCCAATACCCATCCACAAGGCTATCCATGGCCAAATCTCTTGCTCTCAGCTGGGGGGCTCTCGGATTTCTGTGTGTGTGTGTGTGTGGAGTAGTTCTAATGCCTTGCAGATTGTCGAGCAATTTGCAGCGATTAAATTAGCTCAAGCGTGCCGCGCAGGAAGAATTCCCATTCCCACTCCCCCCCACAAAATGAGGTTTCTCTTTCTGGTCCCCTGTTGCTGTTCCTTCTGCCCCTGCCCCTGCTGCTGCTGCTACGGACTAAAGTATTAAATGTATACAAAATGCTCCAAGAGCTGGCCTGGAGTGGGAGTAGGTCCAGAGTTGGGGAGACTGTGGTTGCATATGAACCACCACCAAACAGAGTCAGAGTCAGACAGAGTCAGAGAGATAGACACACACACACACACAGCAGGGGAGTGAAAGAGAGACCGCACAATGTCTGTGTTTGGTTTTGTGTTGGGTGCAAATGTGCCACGCCTCCAGCCCCCATCCATCTCGGCCAAATAATTCTCTCTGATGTTGGCGCGCAAAATGTTCTAATCTCTACGCTGGATTTACACATTGCTTCCCGCCCCACCCACTTCATCAGCCACCCACTCCACTTCACTCCACTCCTCCCCCGCCCACTCTGCTGCACTCGCGACTCGTTGGTTCGCTCGTTCCTTCCTCCCTCCCTACATTCCACGCACATCAACCACATTGAAACTTTCTGTACATATTTGAGTTTCATTTCGTTTGTGGCTACGTTTTTCGGCTAACACGAAGTCATAAAATTGAAATAAATATAAATGCGAGTTGTGCCAATGATTTCCAGCTGAGCGGCTACGCCTCCGTCCAAGACAGGGGGCGGCGGCGGCGACAGCACAGCGTGTCGCTTACAAATCTCCCAAGAGTGCCGGGCTTACCACGGAGCAGATAATGCGCACGAGGATTTGAATGTCCTTCATGTTTCGTGTGATAACAAAATAAAAGGGATGCTCTCTCCCCCTTCGGCTGAGCGACCTTAGGGGTAACATTTTTTGTTGCATACTTTAGGTGACACTGTACAGATAGTGCACTATAATTCCCAACTGGTTCTAGTCGTGGGGGCATGGAACCCCCGATGCAGAGCGGAGGAAAGCATACTTACCTGGCGTAGAGGTTAACCGTGATCACCAAGGCGTGTTCCTCCGGAGTGAGACTTGGCCATTGCACTTCGGCTTAGTTGACCTCTGCGATTATTCCTAATGTGAATAACTCGTGCGTGTAATTTTTGGTAGCCGGGAATGTAGGGTTGCAAATAAATAAAGACCAACGAGATCTCCCCGCGCCCCCCCTATACCACACAGGAACATTGAAACTTACCTAGTCCCATATAATAGCCACTACACATTACCACGCCCCCCCCACCCACGCCCCCCCACCAATACGGCCCCCCGGCCCCCAGGCAGCCCCCCGCCGCGGACCACTATGGGTCCCCCAATTGGTAGCGGTACAGGTTACATCCTTGACCGGGGCGGGTCAACTGCGGATGTACCCCAAAACCGTCATCCGGCTGTATCCCTGCAATTGGGTAACAAAACAAAAACACAACAACCAAACAACCAACAAAACATAACCAAAAACAAAGGTAAAACGCCGGCCCTCAACAAAACGAGCCACCACAACGCCCCTCGAACCCGCCGACATACTCGCGTGCCGTAGGCCACATCCCCACCCAAGTGGAATACTTACGTACCCCCTCGTCGCGAACCAACACCTCATTAAGTCGGCCCACGGGCCAACCATTGGGCGG